GATGGGACCCGTGTGCAAAGTTCAGATGAAAGGATGGGGTTTCTGGGTCATGGACCTGGGAAGAAAAGGTCCTTCTACTGAGTCCTGACCATGAGCCAGGCATAGAGCTGTGAGCCTCCACAGATCGTCCACTGAGTCCCTACAACAGACCTGTGAGGCGAGTGTTGATACTGTCCCATTTTACAGATGAGCAAACTGAGGCTGAAGAGGAGCAGAGACTAGACAGACAGACACCCAGGTGTCCTAGCTTCCAGTCTGGTGCTCCCTCCCACCTCCAGTTGTCAGAAGAGAGAGAAGGGCCTGCGGCCTGGTGGTAGCTAGGGGTCTTCCTCACGGAAGCAGAGGGTGGTTCCCCTGGCTTCTCTCCCGGGAGGCAGTTCCAGTGACTTGGGCTAAGTGCTGGGTTTCTGGCACTCCCGACTTACTGTGTGACCCTTCATGAGACACTTAACCTCTTTGGGACTCAGTTTCTATCCATGAAATAGGGTCACAGGAGCTCCCATTTCCAGAGGTTGTTGGGAGGATGAAAGGAGCAAATGTTGCCCAGGCTAATCCGCTGTGGCCTTGGCAGCGCCTGGTGGTTGTTGCTGAAGGGGTGGGGGTGGTTCAGGCGGGGGGCAGATTGGCACAGGCCCAGAAGACCCCAGGGGAGAGCCCATGGTCCGAGAGAGCCGGGAGTCCCGGGCTGTACTGAGGCTGTGTTGCGGTGGCTTGTGAGCTTCAGGCCAGTCCTGCTGTTGGCCTGGGCGCCAGGGCAGTGGCTGCATCCCTGGGAGAATGAATGAGCCTCAGTGTGGCAGCTCCGCTGAGCTCAGAGCCCCCTTTGTGCTGCCTTGAGTGGCCGTTGGGAGTGCGGCTGGGGACCTGCTGGCGGGTGGCTGTCCCGCAGGCCCTCCTCAGCCTGTGTTGGAGGCCAGCCCAGAGCAGCCCGTGTGCTTCTAGCCCCGAACATACAAGTGCTTTCCTGCCTTTGGGCCTCTGCTTCAGTGGTACCCACACCCGCAACACTGCTCCCCCCCCCACCAACTGGCTGCAAGTTTTGCCTCCATTGAGTGACCCCAGCTCTAGATTGAGCCTCGATTGAGCCACAGTGCCCTAGGGAACCCTGCTTTGGTTTCTGTCCCCTCCCTCCTGCCCCTTTCCCCCAGTCTGTGACTCAGTGGCCTGCAGTTTGGCCAGGTACTATTAGGGATTGGAATCCTTCAACTTCATAGTCAAAGGCACTAGACGCTGGCAAACCTGAGTTTAGATCCTATGTGCAGGACCCCGGGCAAGACATGTCACCTTGCTGAGCCTTGTTTTTCCCATCAGTGAAATGGGACAAACACAACATCTTTCCCATAATCCTGTGGAAATGAAATAAAACATTTATACTGCGAGTATTATCCATATTACATTCACTTGCGTCTTCATCTGCATGTTCCAGACGAACCTCCTGTTCCCTGAGAGAGGAATTGGCCTTCCATATCCATATTGGCCCCATGCCTGCTATAGTGTAGGTCTCAGTCTCTTCCTGGCTTGACCCAGTTGTCTGGTATTGGGGTTCTGTAGGCTGATGTGTAAATGAGCCTGGGCTTTGTTTGTTGTTGTTGTTGTTGTTTTCGGTTTTTTAAATTTTAAATAGGCTCTATGCCCCGAGATCGAGTAGCATGCTCCACCCACTGAGCCAGCCAGGCACCCCGACCCTGGGCTTTGAAAGCAGAGACCTGGCTTTGAATCCCAGCTCCATAGCTTCCTGGCTGTGTGGCCTCAGGCAGGCCACATCATTACTCTGAGCCTCAGTTTCCTCTTCTGTAACTTGGGCCCAGTATGAGCAACCTCCTAAAAGGGACACTGTAAAGCTCCAGGGAAATGACACATAGCAACACAGGGCTGAGCCCAGAGTCAGTACCCAGCTGGCGTGGGCAGAATGTCCATGGTGTACAAGGCTGCAAGCATCACCCCGCCATCCTCTGTCTGGTCTCTCTGTATCCAGTGCCCCTTTGTGTCCTGGGACATCCCAGCAGCCAGGAGCAGCCCACCCATGAGCCTGTCTTCTGCTTCCCTCCGTATCCCGCCCCCCCCCACCTGTCCCTGCTCAGGAGAGGAAAACAGAAGGTCTGGGCCAGAGTCAAACAGCTGGCCAGTAACTCCCTCTTCTACTCAGTGCCTCAGTTTCCCTGTTAAATGGCAGCAGGACCAGAGGCTCTCACAGTATGGTCAGTCAGTCAGCAAGCATTTACTGAGTCCTGGCCACATGCCTGGCTTGGCCAGCTTAGGTGATCACGGAAGCAGGAAACATTTTCCTCAAACCAGCAAATCAGAAGTCATCAGAGTCCGTGAGAAATCATGTCCAGCTAGGACCTAATTTCTTCACACTTCCACCTGGATGATCCCGGACCCCATGGCGGGGCAGTGGGGGCCACCTTCTGAAGGGCTCCTGACTGCTTCTGCCAGGGAGGGCCAAGGGCCCAAAGCTCTGAGGGGAAGTGACTGGCGGATGTTGGGGTTCAGGCCAGGGATGGTCGGGTGGAGGTGACAACATCACCGGAACATCTTCTGAGGCCTCTGCCCACAGGATGTGACTTAGGGAGAGCTCGTGGGAAACAGGCAGGGGGCCCAGCCTGAGAGTCTGACGGTGGAGGCCACCCCAGACACGGTACACCCCCAACACTACCATTCCCCCCCACGCCTCCCATGGGCATCCAGGATACCTAGGCCAGCGGTGTTGGGCCCTGGCTGTGCCCTAGCTCTACTTCTGACATGCCTAAGTGCTTGGGCTTTGTGCCAGATTAACCTGGTTCAAATACCAATGTGGCTGCTGGCCAGCTCTTTGACCCTGACCAGGTGATGTGACCTCTGCGTTCCAGTGTCCCTGTGTGTACAACAGAGATGATCATAGTACCCACCTCCTATGGCTCAGTGAGAATTGAGATAATTCTCAGAAAGTGCTGCATGTACGGCTTGAACCATTTATTTTCCCTCCACAAATTGTAATTACTACAGTTTCCCTCCTTGCCCTCCCCACCCCTAATTTAGCCAATGGCCTCCCTGCTTCTACAGTGTACCCATGAAGCTGACCCCAGATCACTCCCTGACATGTCTCATGGCTGCCTAAAACCCTCGGTGGCCTCCCACTGCCCTCAGGAGGGGGCTCCCTGGTGCTCACCTGGCCCCCGAGGCCCTCCGTGGCAGGGCCCTCCCCCAGAACAGGGTCTCTTGGGACGCCAGGATAATCAGACCCGCTTCCTCCTCCAAGGCGGCTGCAAGGCCCAGCCATGAGGGGTAAGGGCTGCCGGGCCACCCTGAGGGCTTCCTGCAGGGAGACAGATAACGGGGTGCAATGAGGAGCACAGCCCCGAAGGCGGGAAGGTCCAAGGAGTTAGCAAAGCACAGGAGGGAGATTCCTGCCACCACGGCCTGGGAGACAGCTGGAAAGAGCCTCAAATGTCACAGTTCGTGTTTCCCTGAAAGACGGGGGGGAGGGAAATACAGGCAGAGCACATTTTAGAAGGACCTGGAAGGTGCTGTGAGGGGGACAGATGGAGAAGCCAGACTGGGAAGACCAGGACTCAGGACCTATCAGCAGAGGACTGGAGAGGAGGGGCAGACTGAAGGGGTGCAGAGGTGGTAGAAAGGACTGCTTTGCTGTGGGATGATTGTTGAGTAGAGCTGGAGGAAGAATCTAGAGGCTCCTACAGCCGCGGAGCTATCAGGAAATGCTGGGGAAGGGTTGGAGTAGGGGAAGGGGGCATAGGGTCAGAGAAGGAGATGGGTGGTGGGCTTGGTGCCTGGCATACGGACAGCAGGCCTCAAACAGCACCATTGCTATACCCCTGGCCAGACTGTAAAGAGTCTGACTCAGGAGAATCCTCTTCAGAATCTGACAGACCAGGTTCCAGTCCCAGAGCTGTCACTCTGTGACCTTGGGCAAATGACCTTACCTCCCTGAACCTCAGTGCCCTCTTCTGTAAAATGGGCTAGTCAACCTGCCAATGGGGCGGTTGATTCAGGATTCAGCAGGGTTCAGCAGGAACGCCCAGCAATTCCTGAGCACACAGGGGTTCTGGGTAAATGCTATTTTTGTGATTACTGACCCAGGTTGACCAGCCCAGGCGCAGCTCGGCGGGGATGGGGCTCCTGTGGGTTTCATCCCTGCCTTCCAGAAAACAGGGGGTCGAGCTGGAAGGCCCGGGCGTTGCTCGCTCACAGCCTCCAGTGTCGCCGCGCCCCCTAGCGGCCGTCGGTTGCCATGTCAACGGCGGGTGGCTGGGGCCCGGGGAGGCGGCGGCGGGGGCCGTTCTCTCCTCCCAGGACCGGAGGCCGCTCCCTCGGCGCCTCCCGCCTTCGCCTGTGGAGGGGCACTCCGAGCCGGGGAGGAGAGGGCTCTCTGCGGCAGCTGACCTGGGGGGGTAAACTGAGGCACGCGGCAAGGCGCCCCGCAGCCAGGTGTTGAGCGCGGGGCCCCACCTCCGAAGGCGGAGGAGGGGCCGCGGGCGGTGACGCGCCGAGGGCGGCCGGCGGACAGCGGGCGGGCGGCGGCGGCGGCAGCGGCGGCGGCGGCGGCGGCGGCGGCGGCAGGTGCGGCCGCGGAGGGTGGGAGGGAGGAGGGAGGGGGCGGGCGGAGGGGGAGGGGAGGGCGAGGCTGGGGCACCTCCCCCTTTATAACGCGCCCCCTCCCGGGCTCTCGGGCCGCCTCCTCGTCGGCTCTTCCCGTCTCGCCCCCTCGCCCGGCCGCCCCGGGCCCGGGCCCGGCTAGGGAGCCCCCAGGCCGCGGCTCGGGGGCCAACCCCCCCCGCCCGCCGCCCCGCGCAGCCTGGCGGAGGCGGCGCCGTCGGAGGAGGAGGAGCAGGGCACTGCGGCTGGCCCCGGATCGGGAGCCAGAGCGGCAGCGGCTTCGGCAGCAGCGGCGGCCCGGGCCGATGCAGCGGGACGCACCGCCCCGAGCCCCAGCCCCGGCGCCCCGGCTCCCCGCGCCCCCGATCGGAGCCGCCGCCAACAGTGGCGGCGGCGGAGGCGGGGGCAGCGGCGGCGGCGGAGGCGCCTCTGCAGCTCCGGCTCCTCCTGGCCTCCCGGGAACTACAAGTCCCAGGGGGCCTGGCGGCGGGCGGCGGGCGGAAGAGGCGGGGTCGGCGCCGCGGGGCCGGAAGTGGCCGTGGAGGCGGAAGTGGCGCGGCCGCGGAGGGGCCTGGAGCACGGCGGCGGGACCCGGAGCGGGAGCAGCGGCGGCGGCGGCTGGGGGCGGCGGCAGCGGCGCGCTGGAGGCGGCCATGGCAAAGCAGTACGACTCGGTGGAGTGCCCGTTTTGTGATGAGGTGTCCAAATATGAGAAGCTCGCTAAGATCGGCCAAGGCACCTTCGGGTAAGGCTGCGCCCCCCGGGGGACCGGGAACCCTGGGCCTGCACCCCTCAGGGCCGACGTCGGAACGCCCAGGGCCGAGCCCAAGGTGGTCGGGAAGCCCCGGAGTACCAGACGTGTCTCCTGGTCTCGCTAGGCCGCACCGCAGCCCGCCAGGGCCTGACGGAGCCGGCTGGCGGGGAGGAGCCTGAGGCCAGTGATGGGGGGCGGGGAGGGGTTGCAGAGAGGAGCCTGTGAGGGGAGCGGGCTCACCGAGAGACGCCTGGGTGAGGAGACTGAAGGGAGGAAGTAGAACCTCGGAGAAGGACCGCAGATAGTGGGTGGCAGGGTAGCGGAGTGCCCCGGGTACCCGGCCCAGCCCCGCCCGGGGAATCCCTTTTTCCTGCTCTCCTCCTCTGGTGGGGGAGGGGCGGGCCCTGCCGAAACGGCCTGATGAAACCTCTTGGGTCTCCCTCTCGGCCTGCAGGGAGGTGTTTAAGGCAAAGCACCGTAAGACCGGCAAAAAGGTGGCTCTGAAGAAAGTGCTGATGGAGAACGAGAAGGAGGGGGTGAGTATGGGCCGGGTGGGCGGGCCTGCCATCTCCCCTGGGCACGGGGTTGGGTTTCCACCCTGCTTGTGCTAGGGCTCTCGCCGAGAGAGACAGAGAGAGAGAGAGAGAGAGAGAGAATGAATGAATGAGAATGAGAGTGTGTGTATTAGTTTGGGCATTTCTGTATTCCAGAGAACTTGACTTTTGAATTTTTTATTCAAATGTTTTAGAGCATTTGGTGTTTCATTCTTAGGTGAATATAGTCGGGCCAGGAGGGGGAGCTCATGCTTGCAGAGTGCACCTCGGTTCCTGAAGTTAGGAAGCCTTTAAACAGTGCTTAAACACTGTTTCCTTAGCATTTGTTTTGTGTAAAGTACAAAGAAATTGCATGCGATGCCTTTGAGAGGGTGGCTGGAACTCAGTTGAAAAGGAGCAGTCCCCTTCCGTACCTCGTCTTAGGCCAGTCCAGCTTCCCAGAGACCTGCTGTTTAGCAAGGACGTTTCTTTAAATAAACGTTTTTGTTACCACCTAGTATAATACAGACACAGAGCTAAAATCTAAAGGTTGAAGAAACTGTGGAGCATTTAGTGACTAGTAGTGAAGTGGTGTGTCAACTTCCACTGTTCTGGTTTATTGTCTCACACCAGCTGCTTGAGGGGCACATACTACTGGTACGCCCGTTTTACAGATAAAACGTCTGAGGCAGCTGATTTCAGAGCCCATTACCTTACTCTTTTTTTCCTACCTGTGTCCCTTAATATGGACCCCATGGCTGTTCATTGGTCTGTAGTCACTCACCTCTGATCCTCTCTTGTCTTTCTCCTAACCAGTTCCCCATTACAGCCTTGCGGGAAATCAAGATTCTCCAACTTCTAAAACACGAGAATGTGGTCAACTTGATTGAGATCTGTCGAACCAAAGGTACATTGTCTGGATCTTGCCCCCATTTTCAGATGGGGAAAATGAGACTTACAGCCTAAGGCTTTGTTTGCGAAGTTGGAAGTGGACACACCTAAATTACCTCTTCTTAACCCAGACACACCGACCGTGACCGCTGTCTGGGGTCTCTTCGTCGTGGCTGTTGCTGCCCCAGGGCCTGCCACAGCACCCCGCCCACAGGAGGCACTCGGGAAATAGTTTGCCAGTGAAGGAATGCACAGCCGGATATCCGAGTGTCCACGGGTTGGAGGGGTAGAAGCTGGTTGTGGGAAAATGAGTTGCACGTGGGGTTTTTTACTTTCTTTTTCTCCCCCCTCCCCCCATTCTTCCCATCTCAGCTTCCCCCTATAACCGCTGCAAAGGCAGTATATACCTAGTGTTTGACTTCTGCGAGCATGACCTTGCTGGGCTGCTGAGCAATGTCTTAGTCAAGTTCACACTGTCTGAGATCAAGAAGGTCATGCAGATGTTGCTCAATGGCCTCTACTACATCCACAGAAATAAGGTAGGGGTCAGAGTGGGGAAAGGGACTGAGGCTTGGGTTGGCCTTGGCTCCCACTGCTGGGTGGGTGTGACTGAAGGGTCCCCGGAAACCTGATTGAGCCTTCTCCCACTTCCTGCAGATCTTGCACAGGGACATGAAGGCAGCTAATGTGCTCATCACTCGCGATGGGGTTCTGAAGCTGGCAGACTTTGGGCTGGCCCGGGCCTTCAGCCTGGCCAAGAACAGCCAGCCCAACCGCTATACCAACCGTGTGGTGACACTCTGGTACCGGCCCCCGGAGCTGTTGCTCGGTGAGGACTCCCGAGCGGGCGGAGGGGGGCAGGGGCTGGGCACTTACCTGGCCTCAGTCCCCCACTGCCAGGGCTTCTTGAGCCGCCGGCCCTGGGGCATTGCGTCTCAGGAGGCTCTCGGGCTCAAGGGGCCCTCCTGGTGCACTCTTCTTCCCAGGGGAGCGGGACTACGGCCCCCCCATTGACCTGTGGGGTGCTGGGTGCATCATGGCGGAGATGTGGACCCGCAGCCCTATCATGCAGGGCAACACCGAGCAGCACCAGCTTGCCCTCATCAGCCAGCTCTGTGGCTCCATCACCCCTGAGGTGCGTGGCCAGGCCGCCTGGGCCCCTGGTCCCCACAGGATGCAGAGATCCAGAAGTCCTCCTGGCAAGGGAGGAGTGGGAAGTGGAGTAGAAGGAAAGCTCTGGAGAGGTGGCTGGTGGACAGATGGGGCCTGCTCTTTAGAGCCACACGGGCTCTGTGTGAGTCTCGCCCCCATCACAGTTCGTGGCCTTGGGGAGGGCATTTGAATCCCTCACCTCGGAGCGGAGTTTCTCTTCTATGAAACAACTATGCCTGTATCAGGCTTGGTGGATGTATTCCAGGTGACTGTATAAAAGGGCCTGGCACTTGGTGTGTGCCAGATACATGGTCACTGCTGCTTTTCCCTTGGAGAGGTCAAGTTCGTCCTCCCAGGGTGGTCTGGGAGCATCTGAATGGAAGAGTTTTAGTCCCTTCGGGTGCCTAGCCAGGGAACAAGCCACGCACCCCCTGAATTAACACCCGTCTTCTCTCCATGCCTCCTGTGCAGGTATGGCCCAATGTGGACAAGTACGAGCTATTTGAGAAGCTGGACCTGGTCAAGGGCCAGAAACGGAAGGTGAAGGACAGGCTGAAGGCCTATGTGCGAGACCCCTACGCGCTGGATCTCATCGATAAGTTGCTGGTGCTGGATCCCGCACAGCGCATCGACAGTGACGACGCCCTCAACCACGATTTCTTCTGGTCAGACCCGATGCCCTCGGATCTCAAGGGCATGCTGTCCACCCACCTGACGTCCATGTTCGAGTATCTGGCGCCACCGCGCCGGAAGGGCAGCCAGATCACCCAGCAGTCCACCAATCAGAGCCGCAATCCCGCCACCACCAATCAGACGGAGTTCGAGCGTGTCTTCTGAGGGCCAGCTGCCCGTGCTTTTCGTTAGGGCAGTTTTATTCTGCTTTGTGACTTGGACTGTGGAGATGATGGGGCATTTGAGTTTTCTCTAGTGCTTATTTCATTTCATCCCCACCCTGGGCACTGGGAACACCAGCTGAGCGGACTGGAGGAAAGCTTTGGCTGAAAGGCCGGGAGGGCACTGGGGTGCCTCGCCTTGTTTCCTGGCTTTCCATTTACCTTCAGACAGGAATGGGGTGGGAGGAGAGGCACATCCCAGCAGTGACTTTCTAAGAGTTTCCAGCATGATAGGAAGGGACAGGTCCCTCGCCTATTGCCAGCCCTCCTCTCAGGATGAGAAACGTGTGGGGGACAGAACTGGCCCCAGGAGTGGGCTACTCTTGGCCCAACCCTCAGAAGCCCTGGGGCTGGCAAAAACTTGGTTTCTTCAATAGAGAATTTTATCGTGTTTCTTTTGTTCAGTTTTGAGACATTCCTGGACACCATTTGGTCAGTTATAATTAAAGTTGACTTTTTTTTCAGTAAGTGGCTGCGTGCTGTGTTCCGTGTTCAGACCCCAGCTCTTCACCCTGTGGCCAGCACATTGGGCCTAACGATTGGGATTTGATTTGTCAAGTCTTGATTCTTTTCTTCATCCCCGTTCATGTCCCCGGACGTAATTGCAGAGGACTTTGGTCTTTTTTTTTTCTTCTTCTTCTTTTGAGTACCTTCCAGAACACTTGTCCTGCTCTGCCAAAGAGCGGGCACTATGATGCTCCCTTGCTCCTGTCCACTCGGTGTCCAAGGGAGAGGGAAGACAGATGGAACAGGGTCTCAGTTCCCCAGAGAGGGAACTGGGGAGGGTCTGCTGTGAGCTGCAGTTGCAGTGGTGACTCAGTCGGCCATGGCTCACCTGATGTGCTCGAACTTGACTCATGAGCACAGGAGGCTGCAGAAGGCTCTCCATCAGCGGAGTGACAACAGTGAGATCTGTAACTTGCAAAGGTCCCTCAGGCTGCTGAGTAGTGGGAGGCCTAGGGGAGGCAAGAGAGAAAGGACCAGAGCCATTGGAGGATGATCTCTAGGGTCTTGGGGAGGTGGCAGTCACTTGGATTGGGATGGCGACTGAGCAGGAGGACAGAACAGTGGGAAGGTGGGGGTGTCAGGTGTCAGAGCTATAGTCCTTGGAGGAGAAGCACATTTTGGTGGATACATTTGCTGTGAGTGTGAAGCTGGGGACAGACCCATTTAAGGCAAATTCTACATTCTGCCACGGGAGGAGGCCTTTTGAAGGGGGTCCCCAAAGGAAGGTTGGCACAACTTTTAACCAGAACTGTCTCTAGAAATTGACCCAGATCTCCAGGATCTCAACTTCACAAAGACCAGAAGTTAAAAAAAAAAAAATTCCTAAACTTCTGACTAGTGTTTCACCTTGTCAAGGCTGCTGTAGAAAATCACACCGTCACACAGACAAGGTGGTTTACAACAGAAATTGATTCTGTCACAGTTCCAGAAGCTAGAAGTCTGAAGCCCAGGTGTTGGCAGGGTCCATCAGCGGGGCTCTGCCAGAGAATGTTCCATGCCTGTCTCTTAGCTTCTGGTGATGGCTGGCAGTCCTTGGCTTTTCTTGGCTTGTAGATGAACCTCTCCAGTCTCTGCCTCTGTCTTCACCCTGTGTTCTTCCTTCTCTGTGTGGCTGTCTGATGAGGACACCAGTCATTGGATTTAGGATCCACCTTGATTCGGTATGATCTCATCTTAACCAGCTACATCTGCAAAGACCTTCTAAAAATATATGTATATATATGTGTATATATATATGTATATATATATATACACATATATATTTTTTTTTTTTTTGAAGGAGAGAGTGAGCAAGAGAAAGCACAAGTGGTGAGGGGTGCGGAGCAGCAGTGGGAGAGGGAGAAGCAGATTGCCCACTGAGCAGAGAGCCTGATGTGGGGCTCGATCTCAGGACCCTGAGATCATGACCTGAGCTGGAGGCAGACACTTAACCGACTGAGCCACCAAGTGCCCCTGCAAAGACCTTTTTATTTATTTTTTATTCTTTAAAGATCTTATTTATTTATTTGACAGAGAGAGACACAGCGAGAGAGGGGACACAAGCAGGGGGAGTGGGAGAGGGAGAAGCAGGCTTCCTGCTGAGCAGGGAGCCCGATGCAGGGCCCGATCCAGGACCCCGGGATCATGACCCGAGCTGAAGGCAGACGCTTAACCAACTGAGCCACCCAGGTGCACAGCAAAGATCTTTTTTTTTTTTTTAAGATTTTTTTTATTTATTTGACAGAGAGAGACACAGAGAGGGAACACAAGCAGTGGGAGCGGCAGACAGAGAGAGAAGCAGGCTCTCCGCTGAGCAGGGAGCCCGATGTGGGGCTCGATCCCAGGACCCTGGGATCATGACCTGAGCCGAAGGCAGACGCCCAACGACTGAGCCACCCAGGCGCCCAGCAAAGACCTTTTTAAATAAGGTCACTTTCTGAGGTTCCAGGTGGGCAAGGTCTTCTATTCAACTCAACACACTAGCAAGTAATCAAATCCATATGGAAACAACTGTGAGGTGTCCTAACGGCTATTGAATCAATAGTTTGGTTTTTTTTTAGTGATTTTTAATTTATTTGCATGCAGGGGGAGGGGCAGAGGGAGAGGGAGATAATCCCAAGCAGTCTCCACACCCAGCGTGGAGCCAGTTGGGGGGCTTGATTTCATGACCTCAAGACTATGACCCAAGCCGGAACCAAGAGTCGGACGCCCAACCAACTGAGCCACCCAGGCGCCCCTCAAGTCAGTCGGTTTTGAACGCCCTAACTGATGGGACACTCACGGGGCTGGCCTAAGTTGTCAGAGGTGTGGTTGTTTTCTCTGAAGGATAAAGAAAGCTGCTGTGAGAGAGGCTCATGTTCTCTGACCCGGCAGCTCCTCTTACAGAGGTTCCCACTGACACACAGTGACAGCCCGTTACCTCATCAAATCCTCACTACCAGTCCAGCAGTTTCTTTCCTTCGTTCAGCGTGTATTTATTGTCTGCGTCTTCCAAAGACCAGACTTTTCTAGACTCAATAGTTACCAAGCCATGGCCAACCCCACCTCTATGGAACTCACATTCTGGTAGGTTCGAATTAGTCTGATGGGATAGATTGTGTGGCAAACAATAAAGTGGAATAAGAAGGGGAAAGAGTGGGAGCCATTGGAGGGGCTCAGGGTGTCACGGGAGAGCAGAAATCCCAAGAGAAATGGGGCATATGGGGGGGCTAGAGGGTCACACAAGTGCCAGGATCTGAGGCTAGGAAGTTTTCAGAGAGCCTTGTGCAGAGGGAGACACACGTTTCAAAAGGTCCCGGTGACTATGTTGGGAAAAACAGAGCTGGAAGCCGGGGGAGCAGTTCGGGCTGCTGGAATAATCCAGGCACGAGGTGATGGGGGCTTGGACCAGCCTGGTGATGCAGCTGTTGGCACGCGTGTTGATTTATGCGTGGCTGTGAGGGCAGGTCTGTTTTCAGGTTGGATGTAAGTATGAATGAAAGGAGTCCAGTGAGTCCCCCCTTTGCTGGAGGGAGAGCGGGGCTGCCAACCGCGAGACCAAGGAGGCTGTGGGAGGTCAGGCCAGGGCGTGGATGGTCCAGCGTGGTAAGATGAGGAGCACAGATGGACAGCCACTTGAGTCGGCAGGTGTATATCTAAGGCTTGCTCAGGGCCCCCGGAATCGGGGCTGGGGGCACACTTGCGGGAGCTGCCAGTGCCGTGGTTTGGAAAGGTCCAGGGCAGGAGGAGATCACGTGGCAAGAGGGGAGCATGGAGATCGTGGTCTCCTGGGCCCTCCAGTGTTCAGACATCCTCAGGGAATCAAGAGCAGCACGGATGAGGCAGGAAGGGAGCAGAGGGAGAGGGTGTTCTGGGCAGGAGGGAGTGGTGGCTTGGACAAGCGCCATTGATGGGTCCAAACAGTGGAGTGAGGGCTGACCGTCAGGCAGAGCCACGTCAGGGTCAGTGGCGGGTGCTTCGGATGAAGGCCTGCCGAGAGCAGTAGGATTACTGGAGATCGGAGGGAATCCAAGACAGGAAGCAGCAGCATCTACTGTAAAGGAGGAGTAGGGATCCAACTAGTCTTGGGTAGTCTCAGACGAGAGCCATGATGTCATGGAATGACCCAGGAAAGTCACACGGCACATGTTGATTCTCGTCCTATAGACAGAAGGGCCGTGTGGCCAAGTGTTCAGTGGCCAAGCAAGGGCTCGTCCCCTAACCGGTTCTCTGCTACCTCCTCCCAGTGGGTCCATGACCTTCAGGGCAGCTCCGCGTGTGTGGAAAAGCTGGAAAAACCTCCGTTGGCTTCAGTAAGTTCGAGCAGCTCCTCACCTTCAGCGCACATCCAGACCCGGGACTCAGGTCAGGGTGGGCGCCTCTAAACATGAGGCTGCTGGTTGGGATTCGGGCAGCACGCGCAGAGCACAGGCCCACCACGGAATGCTAGGCAGCTGTGAAAAAGGATGTGGACGCATGCACACGGGGACAGACAGAAAGATGTCCCAGAAACAACCGGTGGAAAGAGCAGGTAAGAAAATATCTATTGCTTGAATTCATTTTATACCAAAAATGAGGATTCACACGAACACATTACCCGTGGTTATTCTGGATGGTTTTGTCTTTTGTGTTTCTCTGTGTTTTCTCCTATTTCCTGAGTTCATATTTTCACTCATGCAGTCAAACCATATTTTATTTTATTTATTTTATTTTTTTAAGATTTTATCTTTTTAAAGTTTTTTTATTAAGATTTTATTTATCTATTTGAGAGAGAATGAGATAGAGAGAGAGCATGAGAAGGGGGAGGGTCAGAGGGAGAAGCAGACTCCCCGCTGAGCTGGAAGCCCGACGCGGGACTCGATCCCAGGACTCCAGGATCGTGACCTGAGCCGAAGGCAGTCGTTTGACCAACCGAGCCACCCGGGTGCCCCAAGATTTTATTTATTTATTTGACAGAGAGAGACATAGCAAGAGAAGGAACACAAGTAGGAGGAGTGGGAGAGGGAGAAGCAGGCTTCCCGCGGAGCAGGGAGCCCGATGTGGGGCTCGATCCCAGGACCCTGGGATCATGACCTGAGCCAAAGGCAGACGCTTAATGACTGAGCCACCCAGGCGCCCTCAAACCATATTTTATTTTATTTTTTTTAAAGACTTTATTTATTTGAGAGAGAGAATGAGAGAGAGAGAGAGAGCATGAGAGGGGGGAGGGTCAGAGGGAGAAGCAGACTCCCTGCTCAGCAGGGACCCTGATGCGGGACTCGATCCTGGGACTCCAGGATCATGACCTGAGCCAAAGGCAGTTGCTTAACCAACTGAGCCACCCAGGCGTCCTCAAACCATATTTTAAACCAACAAAGCAGGCCCTAAGCCCTGGAGCCGCTGGCTCCAAGCTCCCCCAACACAGAACTCCCCCGAGAGGAGGCTGGACTAGCCAGCCTCAGACCCTGGTGTGCTGGAGGGGTTGCCCCCCCTGTGGAGGGAGATGGCCAGGAATAAAAGCTCCC